AATAATAAAATATTTTTTTAAAAAAGAAAGAGTACATGAAGTTATCAGAAAAAAGTGATGGGGACACATGGGAGGTGTTGGAGGGGAGGGAGTGGGCATGGATTTGATCAAGTCACCTTATATGCTTCTATGAAATTCTCAATACAATAAAAAAAATAGCTTACTAAATAATGTGTTTCACTTTGGCATTTTCATCGTTCATTCTTATTTGTCTTTTTCCCTGGCCCTCTGTCTACCTCCTGTTCCTTTCTCACCTCAATAACCTTCCAGTTTTCATGTCACATGTTGTCTGTTCCCCTCTTACCACTTCCCTACTCCCGCCCTTAAAATTGCTTCTTCCAGTCTCATGGACCTGTCTTGTTTCTTGGCATTCAGACAACGGATATGATGATGTGATGTCAGGGAGTTGGGGGAGGAGGCACAGGGTAAATGATTCCTAAGGCTTCAAGCATTATGTGTGTGCATGTGTGTACGTATGTAAAGGGTATACATCTGTGTGGAGGACAGAGGTTGATGTCTGTGGGTATTTTTCTCAATTGCTGTCCACCTTATTTGAGGCAAGTCTCTTGCTAAACCTGTAGCTCACCAATTCCACCAGACTGGCTGTTAAGCAAGTTCTAAGGATCCTTCTGTCTCTGCCTCCCCAGAACTTGGATTACAGATGCCTGCCACTGTGCCCTGGCTTTTTGTGTGAGTGCTGGGGATCAGAAACACAGGTCCTTATGCTTGCATGACAAGCACTTTACCAACTGAGCCATCTCCCCAACCCAATTTTGGACTCTAAGGTGCTGCGTGCAAGTACTTGAGATAATGAAGCTGGAAGAGGAGAATGTGATGAAGGGGTGCTAAGAGGACAGCAGACAGAGGAGGGACCGAATTTCTGAAAGAAAATAAAATGCTAAATTACAAACATCAACTGTAAAATGCAACCTACGTTTAATGTTAAAATGTGGGGGTAAAATCCATTTTTGACCCAATGACCTATGGCATTTCCTGTCAGCTTGCTCCCCTCCCTGACAGACATGTGAAAAGTTAGATCTGCCTCTACTTGTTGTTGTGATGGGTCAATCCCCAAAACCCTGTGGGGGCCCAAGATCATTTCCTTCCCATTCGACACCCAGGAAACATCCCACTGGGAGAGATGATACTAGGCTGCGCAGGAGCAGTATCAGCAGTCCATCCCATTTGCTCTGCTGCGCCTTCTCCTGAGTTTCACAGCTCAGGAGAGGGCAAAGGATTGGAGGACCGAGGGATCCAGGCTCTCACCACAGCATCCCCAGCCAGCCCACATCAAGGACGCCAATAGAGACACAGCAGAGGGTCCCTGTGAGGACTCACTACATATAGTTTTCAGTTCTCTACAACCCCAAAATCATTTTTCAGATCAGCTTTTCTAACTGAAGTATGACAACTCTATTGGGAAGCACAGAATTTCTAATTGTACACCCTAATGACTGAAAATTACAACTACTTCAGTGAGAAACCAGACTGTGACAGGCATCTTAGCCCCTAACAGCCCCCAGCACTACCTCTTGTCTTCCCCAAGGCAGCCTCCACTCTGACTTCTAACATCACCAGTCAGTTCAGTTTGAGCATCCTTAATCTAAAAGCCCCAAATCCACGCATTGCAGATCTTAGATTTTCAGGTTAGGATGTTCACCCTGCTTACTGTGCAGCCCCCATGCAGACTACACAAATATACCCACATCTGAGAAGCAATTCTGGCCCCAAGCATTTCTGAAATGGAATACTCAACTTTTATGTTAGTGAAATTTGCACAAATAAAATCAGACAATGCATACTCTTTAGGTCTGGTCTTCCCCTGATCACTGTCCCTGTGACAGTCTTCTGTGGTATTATGAGTGGCAGGTTCATTTTCTTGGTTCTACAGTAGTCCAGTGTATGCATTCATTACAGTGTGTGTTCACTTGCATTGTTTCTGGCTTGGCACGATGCTAAATAACTGCCATTCTGGTACACATATTAGGAATTTCTGTGAGTTTGTATTTAGGGGTTCTGTGTTACAGAGTATGGTTTCAGTCCACAGAGTGGACTTTCCCAAGGGAGGCATGACCGAGGCCACCACTGGGGCTACTCCACCCAGGCCTCTATTCCTGCTGCCCCACAATCGTCCCTCAGAAACTGGGAAGTAAACACGTAGTTTAGCAAAGCCACATTTTCATGATTTTACTTGTCAGCACACAACAAGAATATGAGAGTCAGTGAGACGGTTCAGTGGATCAGAAATGCCTGCCACCAAGCCTGATGACCCGAGTTCGATTCCTGGGACCCACATGGTGGAAGGAGAGAATCGACTCCTATAAGTTGTCTGCCCTCCATATTTGTACCATAGCATGTGCCCACCCTTCAATGAATATAAAAAAATGTTAAGAAAAAAAGAGCATGGGGGGGGAGAGGGGGGAGAGAGAGAGAGAGAGAGAGAGAGAGAGAGAGAGAGAGAGAGAATGGCCTTGCTGCTTTCCTCCTCTAAATTGCTCAAGTATTCCTGAAGAGTGAAACCAGTTTGGCATGCAGGCTCAGAACCTAAAGCCTAAATGTATGGCAGCTTTCTGTTCCTGTGATGAACACCCAGGATAAACATGTAAGAGAAGGAAAGGGTTATTTTGGCTTTGGAGCTTCCAGTCTATGGTCACAGCAGGGGGCGGTGATGGAACAAAGTTGTTCACTCAGTGAGGCATGGCCACTTACACTGTAATCCCAGCACTTGGAGGCTAGGGCAGGGGGACTGCCTTAACCTTGAGGCCAGCTTGGGCTATTTCATAAGGCTCTATCTCCAAAACCCTGAGAAGGAGGAGGAGGAGAAAGAGGAGGAGGAGGAGGAGGAGGGGGAGGAAGAAAAAGGAAGAAGAGGATGAGGAAGAGAGGGAGAAAGCAGTTTAGAGGGAGGGTGGGATACACAATGAGCTTCTAGAGCTACAGTGTTCTCTACCAAGAGCCAGGCACCATGTGCAGAGAATCTCTTCTGGATAGAGAATCATCTGTTTTGCCATTTTTTTTTTTTTTCCTTTTTCCTCCCTTCTGAGGCCCTAGGGCAAACAAACCAACATAAGATGTCCTATTTGAATTTTGCATAGTTTATATGACATTTGGGAGGGGGGTGACTTACAAAAACACAGATTCTTGTAGGTTCCATAGTTTAAAAAATATTTTATTTATTTTTATTTTATGTGTATGAGTGTATTGCCTGCATCTATGTGAGTGCACCCATGTCATGCAATGCCGCAGAGGTCAGAAGAGGGCTTTGGATTCTCCCGGAACTGGAATTAAGGATGGTTCGTAGCCACCCTGTGGTTGCTGGGAATTGAATCCAGGTCCTCTGCAAGAGCAGTCAGTGCTCTTAACCGCTGAGGCATCTCTCCAGCCCCAATACGTTCCATATTTAAAATGCATGCGCCATCAGTCTCCCAGCCCAGTCTTTTGCTCAGGTGTTCCCAGCTCTGTAATATGGCTGTGGCTCTGCCCTTTTTCCCAGGGTGCCCGAGTAGCCCATTCTTTTCAGAGGAATGAGTAATTTTTGGGCTACAGAAGTTAATGTGAGCACCTACTCCCCACCCTGTAGAACGACTGGAATCATCTGGAACCAGTGTTTTCTGAAACACAGTATGTCCTGCTTCCACCTTGGCACTGAGAGTGGCATCACACGGTATGGGAGCATTTGGAATTCTGTAGTTACAGTGTTAAGTGCCGGGATTACACTTGTATGCCTCTATACCATGCACACTTGATACAAGTGTAAAGCAGAATCATTCCTTTCACTTCTAGGCTGACACTGGTAACCCCAAAAAGACAAGTCAGAAGAATAAGAGAAGTAATATTGGTTTTGGGAATAAAAAATATAACACTCCTTGCAATATTCTGTGGTAACTCATTTTATTAACATGGAACAGTTAATGCAAGCCATAAAAGGGTCTAATTAAATAAGGTATTACTACAAGCTAAACTTACCCATTCCCTTGTGGTACTGGGGATGTAACCTGGGGCCCTGTGAAGGCTAGACAAGTATTCCACTGCTGAGCTATACCCCAGTTCTCTCTTTTCTTTATATTATTATTAAATTTAAAAAAAAAAAAACAAACCCAATAGCCAAACCTTGCCACTTTACAACCAATTTGTTGTTCAGGAATACCACTATAAAAAGAAAGTGTAGGCTGCAATGTTTGATCAGTTCTGGTTCATAAAGCAAAACAACAGAATTCATGACTGAAAATTCACCAACGCTTTTTCTCTAAATCGGTTCCTTGGTGATGCATCTTCTTGAGTTCTACCCACGAATGCCACAGTAGCAGTCCTGGGATGAGAACCCACACGCCATTAAAAAATACCAAATAGACCCACAAGTAGAGCCAATTACTGGTGTTGAGGTTGGGGTTTCCAGTAAGCCACTCTGGGCAGAAGGTCATCCAGCAGCCATAGAGTTCACACACACACAGGGTGATCTGTATGAAATGCCTATTGGGGAGAAGGCAAGGAATGAAACCAGTATCCTGAGGAAATTTGTCCTCAGAGGGACAGAAAAGGGGGGACAGAGGAGAGCCCAGATCTTTCAGAGTCTAATTAAGATGATGGTTAACTTTCTGCTTGAGACAGGATCTTATGAAGTCCAAGGCCAGCCTTGAGCTCCTGATCCTCTGCTTCTATCTCCCAAGTGCTGGAATAAGGCCGGCACCACCCACGCATGCCTGGCTTCAAATAGTTTTCATTTACAGTCTACTTTTTTTTTTCTGGTCTTTTCGAGACAGGTCTCCCTCTAGCCCCGGTTGGCCTGGAACTGGCTATGTTGACCAGGCTGGCCTCAATCTCATAGAGATCCACCTGCCTCTGCCTCCCAAGTGCTGGGATTAAAGGCATGTGCCATCATGTCTGGCTTATATTCTACTTTTTGTCTCATGGATAAATGTGGTCACAATCTGTTCCCAATGTCATTTGGGCTCTGCGTAGCTCATGTTTCTCTCCTTTCAGATGGACAGAGGCAGACTTACCTAAAATGTTTCTCCTTGACTATGGCATAAGTGAGGATCAGTGCTAGAAACCCATCCAGGACAACAGTCAGAATTTCCACAGACACAATGGTCGGATCAAAATAAAGCCATCTCACATCAGCTTTGCTGTATTCTTTCCCTAAAGACACAATACCTGTGGTTAGCTTTTCAACTGGCAAGACTTTTTAAAATTAGTTTCTTAGAGGTAATATATAAACTAATGGACTACATTATGATGTCGATATCAGACGTACATATCATTATATAGATTTTTTTTATTTTATGTGTATGAGTATATTGCCTGCATGTAGGTAAGTGCACCCATGTCATGCAATGCCCGTGGAGGACAGAAGAGGCTGTTGGATCCCCTGGAACTGGAGTTTTGGACAGTTGTTAGCTGCCATGTGGGTGCTGGGATTCGAACCTGGGTCTTCTGTAAGAACAACCAGTGTTCTTAACCACTGAGCCATCTCTCCAGCCCCTCATATCATTATTCATGATCACTTCCATTATCTTCTCTTGTCCCTCTTCCTGCTGGTCCCCCTTCTTCCCTAAACAGTAACCCTCTCCTTTTATGTCTTGTGTGTGTGTGTGTGTGTATGTGTATCCCGTTTTTCCCAATAGATGTTTTGTAACCTTGTCCAAAATCAGGGGGCTGTATAGTTGCATGGTTTATTTCTGGGTCCTCTTTCTATTCCATTGGTCTGTATGTCTGTTTTATGAACTAGTATGCACTTTTGTGACAGTTAATGGAAATGGCCATTTTTACTTAAGGGGGAGATAAAAAAGATTATTCTTCTCTCTATACTCTTCATGATGGCTTTGCAGAAGGCAAGGAAAGCCTGAGATCACCATGCATTCACCCCTGACACAGGTGATAACAGCATGTTCTATTTGTAAAATACCTGCAGTTTCCAAAGTGCTCTCACACATGTCCTTTCTACCCTTGGTGCTTTTCATCACAAGTAGCAGAATTCTAAATTAATTCAACACAGTCAAATTTTCAAACAGAATATTTAATAATGATTTTGCTAGAGTCTGGGGAGATGGCTCAGTTTGTAAAGCTCTGGCCTTGCCAGCATGAGGACCCAAGTTCAATCCCCAGTGCTGGGGAGGGAGAGACAGGAGGCTTGCTGGCCAGCCACTTTAGCCCAATTGGTGAGCTCCAGGCCAATGAGAGACCTTGTGTGAAAAGAGGTGCTGATGTTTCTAAGGATGACAACTGAGGTTGTCGACCCTCCAGAAATAGAGGCACATACAACATATACACACCAGATACACTCACATACACAGAGCAATGGTAGTATTAACTGTCTACCTGACATAAATAGAATCACTTCTGGGCTTGTTTCTGGGAGACTATCTTGATTTCATTAATCCTCTGTGGGTGGCACCATTCCCTAGGTAGGGGATCCCGGACCATGTAAGAATGGAGAAAGCAAGCAGAGCACTAGCACGCATGCATCCACTGCTCTCTGTTCCTAACTATGGATGCAATGCAACTGTTCCTGCAAGCTCCTGCTGCTGTAACTTCCCTGTCATAATGGACTGTATCCCTGAACTGTGAGCTGGAATAAACCCTTTCTTCCTAAGTTGGTTTATCACAGCAACAGGAAAGGAAACTAAGACATACATGCATTACCAATAACAACAAAAGGGCAGGTGAGATAGCTCAGCAGGTTAAAACACCTGCCTCCATGCCTGACAGCCTGAGCTAGAGTCCCAGGACCCACATGGCAGAAGGAAAAAGCTGACTCCCACAAGTTGTCTTATCTTCTGACCTCCACATACATGCATTCATGTGCTCGTTCACTCACGCATGCATGCACGCATACACACAAATAAATTTAATTAAAAATTAATGATCTTGCTAAATGCATTATACTTCCTTACTTCAAAATTTCAACATAAAGCCTCTAAGCATAATTTAGGTGTGGGAAAACTATTGAGGAAATCTTTCTTTTTACATTTCTGTTCATTTTTACTTTTTGTATGAGTGTTTTGCCTGCATGTATGTAAGTGTATGATATGTGTGCAATGCCCTTGGGGATCCCCTGGAACTGGAGTTATAGATGGTTATTAGCTACCATGTGGGTTCTGAGAACTGAACTCTGGTCCTCTCCAAGAACAGCAAATTCTCTTAACTGCTGAGACATTTCTCTAGCCCCAAAGAATTTTTTATTAAAAACAGTTTGTGAATATATATTCATGATTGTAATATCTTCTTGGTTTATTTTTCCTTTGATCAGAATGAAGTAGCTTTCTTTGTCTCTTCTGATTAGTTTTAGTTTAAAGTTTATTTTATCAGATATTAGAATTGCAATGCCTGCTTTTTTCTTAGTACCATTCGCTTGGTATATTTTTTTCCATCCTTTCACTTTAAGGTAGTGCCTGTCCTTGAAAGTGAGATGAGTTTCTTGCAGACAATAGAAAGATGGGTTTTGTTTCTTAATCCATTCAACTAATCCGTATCTTTTCACTGGGGCGTTCAGTCCATTGATATTCAAAGTTACTAAGGAAAGATGTGTATTGAATCCTGTCATTTTTATTTCTGTTCACATTCTTGATTTAGCTGTACTTTTCCACAGTTATACCTTCATTGGAATTCTTTCCGCAATCCCTTGGGTATAGTCATTCCTTTCTTCAGCACTTTGTATTGCTTCCAGAACTCTCTGAAGGGCTGGTTTTGTGGACATGAATTCCTTCAGCCTATTTATGTCATGGAAGATTTT